AGTCAGTATGGTCAGTATGTCCACCAGAGGGCATTGCAGCTCCTGTATATAAAATGTGGAGGGCTGAAAGTGAAAGGATACTAGTATGTCAATAAGAGCTTGATTAGCTGGTTCAGGTGTGTTTAATTGGGGTTGGAGCTAAACTCTGCAACCTCCAGGACCTCCAGGACCGAGTTTGGGCACCCCTGCTCTAGGAGCATTCTTTAAAAAAAAAAAAGATGCACTTCACTTACTCTGCAAGACACCGGCCCTCCAGGACCGAGTTTGGGCACCCCTGCTCTAGGAGCATTCTTTAAAAAAAAAAAAGATGAAACAACCTCACTTCACTTGTCTGCTGACTTCGAGGTCATTAAATGTTTCATTGCGGCTCTACTCCTGCAAGCCCTCTTAATGAGGGTCCCTTGTTCTTTTACAAAGACCACCAGACAAGCAGACAGCCAACAGACTCAGATCCAGGCAGTGAACCCAGCAGCCTAATAATCACAGTCTGTCTTATTTTGTAAAGGCAATAATATAATTACCCTGGGTATTTATGTAGAATGGCATTCTTTATTTTTTATGCAGAATTAGTTGAATAATAGAGTAAAAAACTGAAATGAATCAAACAGTGTCTTGTTCAGGATGGTACAGAAATGACAGTAGACATTTAAAGAAAAAGTGAAACTTGTAAAAGGCTCATTTCCCTCTTATTGTAACAGTCTCTTGACAGGGAATGACATTTGCTCCTGTAACTGTGCTGCTGGACAACTATTTTATTCAGCTCTTCTAGTGACTAAATGCATCTGGAGTTTAAAAGGATAAAATGAATGAAAAATCTATTTCATTTACTTCCCAAAATGGTGAACATCAAGTGATATCAATCGGTGAACACTGCTCTGCTCTGTGTGTAGATATGCAGGAAAAACAGAGGAACGACAGAATGATCTGAAAATTGCAGATGGAGACAAACTAATGACACAAATGCACAAGATTTGCACTGTTTGTTGTCACCAGCAGAAACGATGAATGAATAATTTACTATTCAAAGCTTTTGTAGAATCAGAACCAGGCTGTGTAAATCGACCAGTGTTTGTACATGTAAGAAACAAAATCATAGTGCCCCACTGCTGTAATCCCTCTATAAATCATTCGATTCAGGAAGCGAGGGAGTTGAGAGCTCTAATCCCCTCTGTGTGCTGACGCAGAGATCACTGCTTCATTCACCCAACACATTCCAGTCCTCAAAATACACAAACATTTGCATTTCTCCCTATCAAAGACACAATTCTACGCTTATGACATAACTGCTTTGGTATCAAGCGTTGACTAATGGTTCAGATGCTTGTGTTTAGCATGATGAATGGATGTGCTAAGGATTTCCTTACAAACATATATCCAACATTGTAGGTAAATCATTTAGCAAGTGATTTATCCACAGTGATTTAATGGTACATTCAATGCAGAGATAATCCCTTAGAAATTTGGGGTTAAGTGCCTTGCTCAAAAGCTCATGGCTCATTCCTGTGGGATAGGCTTTATTTGGAATGTCACATGACCGGAAAACAAGTCTCATTGCATCTGCTTGTCTTGTGTTAACAGCAGTATGAACTGACAACGATATCTAAGAACTTTGAAAGTAATCAGCTAGCCTACTTAGTTCTGTTTATTGTATGCATTTTATTCTATTTTAATATCCAAATCAGGGGTGGCGAACGTCAGTCCTGGAGAGCCGCAGCCCTGCAGAGTTTTGCTTCAACCCTAATTAAACACACCTGAACAAGCTAATCAAGGTCTGAAGGGTTACTAGAAAGCTACAGGCAGGTGAGTTTTAATTAGGGTTGGAGCTGAACTCTGCAGGGCTGCGGCTCTCCAGGACTGGAGTTCGCCACCGCTGATCCAAATGTTAGTGAAAAGAAGAAACTTTTTGATATCAGTTTGCATATGCAATGAACATCAGTTTATTTTTGGAAGCTCTTTTGAAAGCATCTCTGTATTAAAGGGGTCACGAACTGCCTTTTTAAAAATAATTTTGTACTGTTCTCTGAGGTCCACTTATAATGTTATCTAGATTTTTACATAAAAAAACATCATAGCTTATAAGTAATAGGCTATTTTCTGTTTTTTGACCCCCTTCATCAGAACGCTCTGTTAGAATAGGTGTGGCAGATTGTAGACTTGGAAGTAAATGCCCACTGCTATGATTGGCTAACAGTTGTGTATGCTTGACAGCTTACATCCTTCACAGATGGACGCTGCTATGATTTAGCATCCTATCAAATTATATGTTTAACCGACAAAGCAATAGTAATCACGTAAAAAAAAAAAAGTTTTGTTTTGCGACATTACTGTTGGATCCAATATAGCCGGCACAATCTTTCTGAAAATCCTGCGTCGAATTGTGCTTTGATTGTAAATGAATTCGCGGTAAAATGAAGTGAACAAAGGACCATGTTCTTATTGACGTGTTCTGGAACTTCATTAAAAATAAAAAGTTGAAAAGTTAATTCACTCATTCCTAACGTTGGGATCAGAAGGAAGGCAATGCAAAGACTGTTTTTTAAACAGCTTGGCACTGCACAGTGTCTTGTTGTCTTCAGAGCATCTTTATCATTTGGTTTCTGCTTAGACCTGCACGTTTGCCTATCGTTATTTACACTACGTGCACGAATTGGTGGGCGGGGCTAAACAGGCAACGATGTAGAAGCAGGCGTTGATCTTCTGCGGAGGTGGTGTTTATCCACACTATTACATCATAGAGTGGTACATTCTACAAGCTGTTGTTTTGGCAGACTGGCTTCAATATAAGCTGTTGAATCTTACAGGATGTTTTCATAGTACAGTGACCTCCTATATGTCAAAAGATCAAGGGAATTTTTGTCTCTCAGTTATGACCCCTTTAAATGAACCAAAAAAGTGACCTGTTTTACAGAATAATGAAGTTTTTTGCACATAATCTGCATTCAAACCCACAACCTTCTGGTGTCCACCCAACAAGATACTCTACCGTCAGATCAGCACTTTAAAGTCAACATGAAATTGAAATTCATGAAAACATGAAATCACCTCTTTTTTTAAATGCATAATTGATCTTATTTTAAATTATTTGTCTGTGCATAGGCTATTTTTTTTTTTTTTTACATTGTTTTTTTTTAATCTCATTTTAATGTCAATGAACTCAACAGAACATCTACCATTACTTCCATTTTCTGTGGTGTATCTAATCTATGTAGGGAAAATCTCTCACATATTATTTGTAATTTTGACAAAAACATTAATGTATTCTAACTTCAATGCATGAAAAGACCCTGTCTTATTGTTATACCACAGATTTGAGTCAACTAACTTTACTCAATTCAGCAACAGAAAGCTGGATTTCCTTTGATATCTGTAATTCACATACTCTTATATGCATGGATCTTAGGGACGCACCGAAATGAAAATTCTTGGCCGAAACTGAAACAAAATTAAACACTGGCCGAAGGCCGAATACCGAACACGGTTTTTTGAGTTTTTTTCCCCATGTATTTTGCCAATTTTTTTTTCACCATTGCATAAATTAAAAAGCCAAAATGTGCTTTTTACTGTTTTGTCTTGGTTTTGTCAAGCATCTTTGGCAAAAACAAACAGCAAAAAATCTTCTCAGATATTTGTCATTTCTGTCTTGTCGATCTGTGTTGACACACACACACACACACACACACACACACACAGACCACAAATAGAAAACCCAGCCATCAGTCCTTAGTAGATAATTTATTAATTCGCTCAATTAGTTTCATGCACCACTCTCTTCTTTCCAGTGTTTTCTTGTCTAGACTTTTTATGGCAATCTCAACTGTTGAATTTGAGGTAAATCTTCTCTCTCTCGCTCTCAGAACTTTGTGGATCCACCAAAGCCGTCAAGCATGAAGTTAATTAGCTGTGGAGGAGGCGTCTCTGTTCATCCCCCACACACTGCTGTCTCATTTCCGTCCCCACTGGAGATCACACACTCACACACACATACACACACCCTCACATACACATTGCAGAGTCTCTTCACACAACAAACACACTTTGTACTGTTTGCCAGCTGGTGGAGTCACTCTCAGGCCTAAGAGCACATCTCAAGTCAGTCTTTGTGTTTAACTTTTGTCACCTCTACCTGTACTGCAGTCCTGAGAGCAGATCCCAGATCAGTCTGTGTGCTGATCTTTCAGGTGGGTGACAGATAATTAATGGATAGAAGTGAATAGAGCTAAAAAAAAACTACTTCTAGAACTTTTAAAAACTTACTGGGAAATCTCATAATGTCAGGGTTGGAGAGCATTCCATACCTGTCAAATGTCATTTTTTAAATTGAAAGACTTATCTAAATCGGTGGTGCTTATCTTTTTAAAACTGACTCATGAAGGCTAACTGAAAAGTAACTTGGAAAAAAACTAAAGACATTTGGGAAACGTTTGTCATTATATAACAGTTTCAGTCCTGCAATTTGATTGCCTAAGTGGTGTCCTATAGGACTGATTTTTTTTATATACTGTTTTTGTCACTCTGCTTGTCTGTGTTTGTGTGTTCCAGACACACTGTCAGTCTGTGCATCAGGGGCATTCAGTCCATAAAGCTGTGAATGTTCTGCATACCCAAGCCATTTAAAGAATGAGTTCAGGGACTGGCTAAATATTAACATTACTAAAAATATATTGTCATTTGAGGTGAAACATAAGGCTTATATAAAAAAAAATGCTTGGAATGAGTAACTATGTAAAATAATTTCTTTGCCAAACAATGGTAATTTTAGGCAAATCTGTGCTGGTTATGGAGGTACGGAGGAGTTTATCTCCAACACTAATTAAACACATCTGAACCAGCTAAGATTTTCAGACTCAATAGAAATTTCCTGGCAAGTGTTTAGAAGCTGAAATGAGCTAAACTCTGCAAGACGCTGGCCCTTTAGGTGAAGGTTTGGACACCCCTTGATACAAGTAAGTGGATTCATAACAGCTCACCCGATTCATGACAATGTGAATCGTCATTATTTTCTGGCATTTTCATCGCTTTTTGGCAATGTAGGTGATTTCATGCACGAGAAAATCTGTCCATTAATTGCTAGCCCAAACAGAAAAATGCGCTGATGCTGCCAGATCTCGATTACCCAATTTTTTTTTTTAAAGATTTATTTTTGCCCTTTTTGCCTTTATTTTGAAAGTATGTATTGTCAGGAAACAAAATAGGAGAGAGAGAGAGGGGGGTGGGATTGGGAAAGATCCAAAGCCAGGACTCAAACCCAAGATTCCCGTGCCAAAGGTGCTGCCACGAGGCTATCAGCGTCAACAAATCACATTTGGTGTAAAAAAAAAAACCTTGACTAAATGAACAAAACCCTCAACTATATTTTCATTTGCAAAGCTAATTTTGAAAGTCCACTGAAAACTTACTGTATCTTCTCATTTTTGGCATAGAATATGTTGATGACAGTATTTAGCAACATGCTTGCGCAAACTAACTAATAAATAAATATTTATTGTTCTATTTGTTTTCCTCCTTTATTGTTGCATTTGTTTCTCCCATGCTTGACAAGTGTTGACATGCATGTTCTTAAACCGATTACGCTTATTAAGCTGACAACAGGTGTGGTCATGTAAATGCATTTTCTTTTATTGGCCTTTTACTTGATTGCCATATGGTCTTAAATGGCTTAGGTCTAAACTTATCGACGCCTAGATTTTTGCCCATTACCCTGATTTTGCCCGGTATGTAAACACCTAAACCTGTGCTCTTTCAGCTTATTGAAGTGCACAACGTTTCCCTTCTCCTGCTAGAACATATAAAGCAGTGGTTTGTGCTGATTCTAGCAGAGTTGTGTAATATGTGATATGTAACAGGAATGCGTCCTTTCTGCAGATTTAAGTGCATTCAGCCAGAGCGGGTGTTTCGCTTTAGGGGAGGAGGAAATATATCATACACTGACTCTCCTGACCCAAGAAATTATACAAATGTGTTCTCATCTCGTGCAGCCAAAGAAGTGGTAGAAACTAGTTACAGAAACCGTAAACATTAGAGTGTGTACAAGTTTCCTGCTGACATTTTGGCATACACTGAAGTTTGTAATGCTGTAACATCACAACTATCATAATAAATAGAATACTTAAGTGGAATGCGTGGATTCTTATGTTTTGAAATCACAAAATTTAATAAACTGATTTTTGGTAGTCATCAGCATATGGGTGTGAAAGAAAACATGCTAATTGATTCAGTCATTTAACCGATTAATTCAAAAACAGAATAATTAAGGAACAAAACACCACAACATTGTGTTGGTTGGAGACATGCAATGGTTAATTCTGCTTTGACTTCTTTTGGAACTCTGTAAGTAACTGGTAATATTGGGTCTAAGTTACTCAAAGGGATAGTTCACCCAAAAATGTCTCACCCTCATGTCGTTCCAAACCCATAAGACCTTTGTTCATCTTCGGAACACAAATTAAGATATTTGTGATGAAATCCGAGAGCTTTTTGACCCTGCATGGACAGCAACACAACTAACAGTTCAAGGCCCAGAAAGGTAGTAAAGACATTGTTAAAATAGTCCATGTGACAACAGTGGTTCAACTGTAATGTTACGAAGCAATGAGAATACTTTTTGTGTGCAAAGAAAAGAAAAATAACGACTTTATTCAGCAACTTTTTACCTTGCGAGTCAGTCTTCGTTATTTTTGTTTTCATAGTACACAAAAAGTATTCTCGTAGCTTCATAACATTACGGCCAAACCGCTAATGTCACATGGACTATTTTAACGATGTCCTTACTACCTTTCTGGGCCTTGAATGTGTCAGTTGCATTGCTGTCTATGCAGGATCAGAATGCTCTCCGATTTCATAAAAAATATCTTGATTTGTGTTCTGAAGAGGAACGAAGGCCTTACGGATTTGGAACGGCATGAGGGTGAGCAGTTTTTCATTTTTGGGTGAACTTTCCCTTTAATATTAACTGTTTATTAAACTGCTGCATCAAAGCAATATCACATTGCGATCTCGTGCTTACAGCCAAATTCAGAACAGTGTTCTTGCTCGTGTGATATTGCAGAAGTATTGAATAGATGTATGACAAGTAAGCGATAATGCACATACATCTGATTGTTATCACAAAATAAACCCTGACAGGGTGATCATGACCCAGACGCAAAGTTATAATGTACACGGGCTGGATGTACATTATCCCACTTCAATCCATGAAGCACTTTGACACAGTAATCATGCCTTAAAACCTACATCCACCACCCTCAAATGAAGAAGACATGCCTACAATGAAGTGTATCGAATTGCTTTCCTTAATGTTTTCCTCCTTCTCCTGCCAGACCATATAAAGCAGTAGTTTGTGCTGATCCTAGCAGAGCTGCGCCCAGGTACTGACGAAAGACTTCCTGCTGAGCTATAGCTTTAGTTTGTGACTAGAGTATAACATTTCAGATATAAGGTATGGTCCAGCTACTAACACACGTGTGGGACTGTGTCCCTCCCTCATACATTCATGGTTGTATATTTCCAGTGAAACAAAAATGTATTCCCTTGAAGATATGGCAGGTTTTGAAACAAGTGATACAAGCTGCAATTGTTAAACCGTTGTTAGTTTTCTTCCAGCAGCAAGCAGCCTATAGCTTTATCACATCGTATTGTTTGCTGGTGTTTGTAAGCCTGTCATGTTTGTCTCAGATGGGTGATGGATGTGAGGATGTTGCTCCAATGATAATTGATTTCTAATTAATATGTTGATTCTAATGAGAGTCACTCGTTAGGATGTTCTAATCAATTTGATATCTGAATCTCCTTATGTAGCTTTCAAACTTCCCTCAATTTCTCCATCACTCACAGACAACCACACTGATGATTAGCACAACTGAGCTCCTTCCGTCGTCAGACTGATTCCTTTCCACAGATGAGCTCTAAAAGACTGTAACTCACAGGAAGTTGTTTCTCCAAACAGTTGCTGAAGTTCTTAGTCTGGTTGGGTTTGAGTTTCTTCAAGGGGATTCGGGTTTCACCAATGAATTCGTTGTGGCGGAATTTGTCCTCGTCACACACTGAAATCCTAGATGAAAACAAAAGATTGACCGTATGAGTTCTGGCTTGTAGATTTGACGTGTAAAGGAATTATGTAGCTAGTGAGAAGACTTTCATCACCATGTTAATCTGATGTACCATTTCAAAGCTTTCAAAATACATTTCTGATATTATCTAGAACAGTTCTGACCCTGTCTGAACCTACTAATAAAATCTGTACTCCGTTCAGTCAAAGAAATATATGGAGGAGTACATATCCTCGAATCCAGTCAAGTGTTGAAGGCAGGCATTACAAACTGATTCCCCACCACCTGTGCTTCAGAACTGTTTTTGAAAAGCACTTATTCTCTGTCAAATACATAGTGTGACCGGAACCAATTATTCAGTATATCCCATATATTTAGAATCCATAGCAGAAGCTCCATGGGAGGATCTTTTTACTATAGATGCTCATTTGCATTGAGCTTGCTCACTGTGAAATGAGTTTTCTGTGCTATTTGCAGTATCGCCAAGAACCACTTGATCTGTGGGGGTAGGAACAAAGGCACGGCTTCTTTTAGTTTTGCACAGGTCAATAATAACATTTGACTGGATACAGATGAGTAATTCACACAGGAAAAAAGAACTTACTGCTGATATCTCTCGTTTACAGAAAGAACAGATGGCCAGAATAACAACAAATCCATGCGTTGATGAATTGGCTAACAGCAGAAAGAGACAATTATTTCACCAAAATATGAAAATCTCTTTATTTACTCACCCTCAAGCCATTTGAAAGCTAAAGGACTTTCTTTCTGTTAAACTGAGATATTTTGCAGAATATCCTATCTGCTATTTTCCACATAATAAAAGTCCATGACTTCAAGTTCCAAAAAGGACATCAAAAACACCATACACATAACTTCAAAGGAAATATGACTATTGTGTTATTAGGGTTGGGTATCGTTTCTTAGAAATGTGAATACAAGGGAGGTTTAGCTTTAGGCATTTTAATTTAAGCATGTTTAGCTTAGTTAACGGAAGGCTACCTGCTGCCATCAGAGCAAGTGTAATTACTGCATTCACGCGCTCCTCGGATGCGCTCATTTCCCGAGTTGTGCTTTTAAGTCGGGATGTGAAAATAACATGGACACTCTCGTTACTTCAAAGATGTGTTGAATTTGTATTATTAGAGCTTTCCGACTTGAGTTCACATTCATTTTCTCAGTCGGGAAATTATTTTTCACGTGCAGTGCCGCGATGATGTTTCTTACGTCCGTTTCGGAGAACCAGAGGACAAATATTTCAATCGATCGCTCAGGCATGGCACCGAAATGAGGTACCGAAATCTGCGTTTGCATTCGGTTCTAGTACATACCGGTTACATAGGTACCGGTGCCATATTGGTACCGGGTTTCGGTACCCAACCCTATGTGTTATTCAAAGTCTTCTCAAACTATATGCGAGGTACTAAAACACAAGTCAATTACTGAAAATACTGTCTTCTGCTAAGGCTCTCAAATCTCAATCAAGCTTTTGCACATGCATTCAAACCTGGCATGTCATGATAAGTGCGAGAACCAATTGAGCTTATGCACTGTTTATTTTCCTGTGGCTATATGCCATCCAATAAGTTCTCCTAAATACAATTCAAAGTTTAGTATGTTGATCACCAAAAATAAATAAAATAAAAGAAAGAAAGAGAACTTAACTATTATAACTTTTGGGATTTAATTGATTCTCAAGTCTTTGGGAGCAACTAGAAACTATCTTATAACTTGTTTTTGTGAACAATAAAATGTTTAACAAATGAAAACCAGACCCCAGTGTTTGTAGAATGTGTGTCTAAAATGTTTTGGTAACTGAAATCGGATTTGAGACTAGGTTTTGGAAGAGCAAAATAGCAGATTCTATCCAGTGCATCATTTCTGTCATGCCAGCAGAGCTGATCCAGACAGTAAAATTCAGATATATTTTCACTCTAGACACGTCTACTTGTCTCAGGCTCAAGGACTGCTATAATCCTCATGCTTTGCACCTCATAACATGATTGATTCCTTCATCTCCCTCTCCAACAAATATCATAAACTACACAAAACCTACAAGAATATGAGTCACTTTAGGTGTAGTCACTATTACAGAGTAGTCTGATGGTTTATGATCTAAAAACATTTTCATACATGATGCATAGGGGTGTGCCATATCATACCATCCACGATAATACCGGTATACATTTTAACATGATAAAAAAAGTGTCATATCGCGATATTAATAGGCTTGTTTGAGATGAGCAAAATCTGCGCAGAACCGATCACCGGTGATCACCGCGAGATGCATGCCGGTTAGAAAAGTGTCCGAGTTACGTCTGACTTGCTCTGATGTCATGCTGACGTGTGCCAAAAAACTCTTGCGACGGCGAGGCTGCTGTGTCGGATTGTGCAGTCGAGTGCAGTTGCAATTAAAGTAAAAATGGATGAAAAATCCACCTTTCGTATGGAATTAAATAGCAAGCACTTTGAGTGTCTTGTTCATCATATTTATTTTCATATAAAAGCAACAGAACTGAAATGATATCATGTTTATTAGCAACACAGCATGTGAGTGAGAATAACGCAATATCCGCCTTTGATCTCGTTGTTATCTGTTCCACTTCGAGAGATCAGAACTGTCCGTCTTGCCTGCGCTTATTTCACTCCTCCCCTCACTGCAGCCGCCTACTCTCACCTTCATTTCAGGCGAGGCGAGGCGCATCTCAAACAAGCCTAATGATATAGCGACGCGATGAGGTATGGCGGATATACGTTCCCTAGCGCGCACAACAACACCACAAACCCAATAGGTATGTTCGACTTGAAGCAGCGCTGCGCAGACTGATCGGTGTATGACATCAAAGTATCGCGAGAGCGGTTCTAGAGCATATTTGAGCGCACACTCTTACCGTCAAAAATAGGTGAGGCGCATATCTTTAGCAAAGCAGTGTGGAGAGCCGCGGCTCCGCTGGTGTAAACACAAGTATTGACTAGAGTGGCTGCGTCGGAGCTGTAACGCGCCGCAGACGCACGCGTGCAGTGTAGGGGTAAGTCACTCTCGCGGTATTTTGACGTCATACACCGATCGGTCTGCTTCAAGTCGAACACACAGCTGCTGCTGCCACCTTATGACAATATATTTACACTCTGAATTAGGTAGTCTGTCATCGATGACAGTAGCTCATTGGAAAAGGATGGAAAATGCCCTTAATTTTGTTTGCACTAATAAATGCTGCTGCCTGCCAGCTGCAATCACCAATAAAACGTTGTTCTATGTTTTTTTTTCTATATCGTCATAAATAACGTTATCGCAAATATTCTTGAAATATTGTGATATAATTTTGAGGCTATATCGCCCACCCCTAATGATGCATTTGGAGAAAATTGCCCCATCAGGACGTCCAACAATAAAATACATCAAACAGACTAATGCATAAAAGGAGAGTCTAGGATTTCATTCTGAGCGGTGGTGTATTTAGTTGCATTTTATTTTATTATACAGATGAGAAAAGAGGAGCATGAGAGCTGAACACTGCCACCCAATGCTGTCTATCATCAGCATCCACCACTGGCAAGTGGGATAAAAAAAAAGTTTAAAAGTTCTTAATAACTAGTAAGGGGAGGACTCAAATTGAAATAACCTCGTAATCTTAAAACTAATCAGAAGTTT